CATGGATACCACGTGCCCCCATGTGATGGCCCGGAATTAACTTGTCTCCTCCCCCCCCCCCCCCCCCTATATAAACACCACATTTATTACTGTGGGGGGACATTTTACCTATTTCATGGCCAGTACGATAAGCCTGGAAACTGCTGACCCACTGTCAAAGAGTCCTGAGCTCGAGTACTTAAATCAACAAGCATACTAGGTATAGGAGTCGAGCATGGGACTAATCTAGGATCGTATCACATCATAGAGAATACCCTTCATAGATCAAATGGCAATGGTGACATGTCACTAGAATTACCGATGGAACCCTAATGACATGTTATTCCATGTAAATAATCGACTATTCAATTTAGGTGCAACAAAATAAAAATTTCGAGTGTTTAATTACACTTTTTAAAGATTCAAATGCTTAATTTTTCTTTTGTATAAATTAAAGTTGAACGTCCAATTTGATAATTGTCTCTAATTTAAATTGAATTTTATGTTGGGGGGAGGGTATAATGTAATGTAAGAGCAAGGCTGCAAGGTGAGAAAAGCTCAAAAAAGAGTTCAAAGCAAAGTTTGCTTAGCATTGATAGAGTGGCGTGTGGCGGTGGAGCCAATCAAATTTTGCTTCTTTCTTCCCATCCAAACGCTGCCGTTGCCCAGACGATGAATATTTGGTGAAGGCACTTTTGCTCCTAAGTCCTAATTTGCATATATAAAAGGCTAAAGCTAAAGCTATACATCACCAATCCGATAGTATATTATTATATCGAAGAATTGAAGCAATCCCAGTGGCAGTGAATCTAGTGTAGTGGTGCATTTCCGAGATAATTTAATGGCGGACGTCGACACCAACATGCTTGTGGCCATGTCTCTGGCACGAGCCGGAGTGGACCGGATGTTCGGGGTGGTCGGCATACCGGTTACTTCCTTAGCCAACCGCGCGGTGGCGCTTGGCATCCGCTTCATCGCCTTCCACAACGAGCAATCCGCCGGCTATGCTGCTTCCGCCTATGGTTACCTCACCGGCCGACCGGGGATTCTACTCACTGTATCGGGACCCGGATGCGTGCATGGTCTCGCCGGCCTCTCTAACGCCGCCGTGAATACGTGGCCGTTGGTCATGATTTCCGGCTCCTGCGATCAGAAAGATTTTGGGCGCGGGGACTTCCAAGAGCTGGACCAAATTGAAGCGGTGAAACCCTTCTCCAAGTTCTCCGCTAAAGCCACCGATATCTCCAAAGTCCCCGCTTGCGTTTTCGAGGTTCTGGATTGGGCCGCCGCCGGCCGCCCCGGCGGGTGTTACTTGGATCTCCCCTCCGATGTGCTCCACCAGACCGTGAGTGAATCGGAGGCGGAGAGATTGATCGCCGAAGCGCAGGATTCTCGGAACAAGGGGCTGATTGAACGGCCAATCGTTAAGGAATCGGAGATCGAAAAGGCGGTGGCTTTGCTTAGACAAGCTGAGAGGCCATTGATTGTGTTTGGAAAGGGCGCCGCCATGGCTAGGGCTGAGTCAGCTTTGAAGACCATGGTGGAGAGAACAGGGATTCCCTTCTTGCCCACCCCTATGGGGAAGGGCTTATTGCCGGATAATCATGACCTGGCCGCCACGGCGGCCAGGTCATTGGCTATCGGAAAATGCGACGTGGCATTGGTGATTGGCGCCCGGCTTAATTGGTTGTTGCATTTCGGGGAACCCCCGAAATGGTCAAAGGATGTGAAGTTCATATTGGTTGATATATCCAAGGACGAGATTGAGCTAAGGAAGCCATGGTTAGGGTTAGTGGGAGATGCTACTAAGGTTGTGGAGACGATAAACAAGGAGATAAAAGACGACCCTTTTTGTTTGGGGAAGAATCATCCTTGGATTGAGGCATTATCTAAGAAAACTAAGGAAAATGTGTCAAAGATGGAGGCACAATTAGCCAAGGATGTTGTGCCGTTTAACTTCATGACTCCAATGAGGATTATTAGAGACGCAATCTTGGAATTGGGTAGTCCCGCCCCAATTTTGGTGTCTGAAGGAGCGAATACAATGGATATTGGCAGATCCGTGTTGGTACAGACCGAGCCAAGGACTCGGTTGGATGCGGGGACTTGGGGAACAATGGGGGTTGGTCTCGGATATTGCATTGCTGCTGCAGTGGCGTCGCCTGAGAGGCTTGTTGTAGCTGTTGAAGGGGACTCCGGATTCGGGTTCAGTGCTATGGAAGTTGAGGTATGTTGTTATAAAGTTTATCTGCTAGTTCTTGATGATAATATCATATGGGGGTGTTTGGTAAATGGTGTTAGCTGATTGAGTTAGTGTGTTTGACTAGTTGATAGTATTAGCTGATTGTAAAAAAGTGTTTGGTAAATTAGCTGTTAGCTGATTACATACAAAATGACTTTTTCGAGAAGTTAATTGAAGAAGCTACTTTGAGTCTTTTAATTTTAGCATTTTGGAACAATAAATTGTGTAATTTCAGTTTTTGTATTTTGTTATTGTTCTCTTCTTTGTTTCTGCTTTCTTACGTGTAACTTGTGTATTGCAGACATTGGTTAGATATCAGCTGCCCGTAGTGGTTATAGTGTTTAACAACGGTGGTGTCTATGGTGGTGACAGAAGGAACCCCGAAGAAATAACTGGACCTTACAAAGATGATCCAGCACCCACTTCTTTTGTCCCCGGTGCTGCGTATCATGTTTTGATTGAAGCGTTTGGGGGAAAAGGTTATCTTGTTGGGACCCCGGATGAACTGAAATCGGCACTTGCCGAATCCTTTTCTGCTAGGAAACCTGCTGTTATCAATGTCACAATTGATCCCTATGCTGGTGCTGAAAGTGGGAGACTGCAACACAAAAACTGAGGCACAGGGCATTTCAGATCCATTTACACATGGTGGCAGTGTAGTAGGTACAAGCAATGAAACCCGATATCTCCCATATGTTTCTCTACGTGCTTTCTGTGTGTCTAAATATATCTGTTTTTGGGTACATCTATAAGAATGAAGAAGATATATTTAGACGCGCAAGGTCTCAGTTTCTCGAGACGTATTTTCCTTGCATCTTATTTCTCATCCCAACCTGATTTTCTCATGACACTTGAATTTATGAAATTCCAGGATCAAGTGCTTTTGAAGTGCTGGTGATGCAGCATCTTTTTGGTCATTTTCTTGGGGCTGGAAGCTTGTCACACCATGTCTAGTGTTTCTAGATTAATAATGTCAGTATATGTGTATGTGAATGTATCAACATACTTAACTCAAGAGTCTTATCTCAGCCCAGAACCCATCAGCTATACATATATATAATAGAAATATAATTTTGTTGTAGATTTTGACCATCTGTATGGAATGTTTTTCTGGTGTCCAAAAATATTCTGCTGCAATAAACCCTGTTTTTATTGAAACATTCTTTAGTTGCATGTGGCTCGACTCTGTTGAATTCTGGATTGTTTAAGGCATATTAGATTATTATTATTATTTGCAACTCACACAAGTTTAAGTGAATAAAATGTTGTTTTGATGGTATTACCACTGACTGAGCATTCCTCAGATGAAAAGTGAGAATTCTAATCTAACTGATAAGGGTAGATATATTAGTAGCATAAAGGTCCATAAAGAGAAAATTTTAATTTTGGTCCACTGATTATTGGAGTTGTGTTAATTGTAACACTTGACTTTCAAAAATGTTAATTTAGTACCTTTACTATGCAATTTCTATCATTTTGGTCACGCCGGTCAAATTACCGGCAAATTGTGACCGAAAAATCTTAACTCATTAAATAAAAAGGGCAAAAGTGTCATTTCATGTTATTTAAACCTCCTTTGGGCTTCCTTTTCTCCGACATCCTACCGCTCCTCGTCGCCGGCGCCTTCGCGAAGAGCCGTTCTCCAGAAATCGCCGCCGGCACATATCAAACATTCTCAACCTCATAGAGCTGCCGGAAGCGCACAATGTGGGAAAAACTCAAAATTAAATGGGAACATGAAAAGCAGCTTCAACCATGTCCCATCGAAGATGTTCCCATTCCTACAACAACACCATGTTAACGTCGAGGAGGTTTCGAAACACTTGCCTAAAACCGCCGACAAGAAGGTTTCATACTTTCTGATAGATAACAATAGCGACAAGGTTGAAATCGATCGCAGCAGCGGCACCGTTCGCCACTGTCTCATGCCAAAGACGATCCCCTTCCTCCACCGTAACGGTCCCTGCCATCTTCGCCGATAGGATGCTATCCAGAAGGTGTCAAACCACCGTTTGACGAAGGAAAACAACCGCAGCAGCGTTAGCCATATCCTACGGAAGTGGATCCAGTTCCTACACCAACACGATCTTAACAAAGAGAAGAAGCCGGAGAAGAAGGAAAGCACTCTCAGGAAACGCATGCGCAAGTTCTTAGGTCAATGTATGGACGACGACGCATCAGTTTTGGCCGGATTTCAATTTCTTTTTCCCCCCGTTTTTAGTTAGTCTTTGAATAAATTTCACATGGAGCCGCCAACGAGAGAGATGTAGAGAGTGAAACCGCCCGCCGACGAGAGGGATGTCGGAGAAGAGGAGCACGGATGTGGTTGACGCGCCTGGAAGAAACCCAATGGAGAAGAAGAACAGAGAAGATGAAAAGACCAACATGCCCTCATTATTTTACTATTAAAATTTTTTCGGCCACTTTTCGCCGGAAATTTGACCAGCGTGACCAAAATTGATAAAAATTGCATAGTCAAGGTACTAAATTAACATTTTTAATAGTCAAGTGTTGCAATTAACACAACTCCAATAGTCAGTGGACCAAAATTGAAATTTTCTCAGGTCCATAATTAAGTGAAAACTTAATCTTAACCTGCGGACTTGTGAAAGGATTGCACTGCAATTACTACATGATTACACCGCATCCAAATACAGGTCCTCCAGGAAACCGTAGCAGTGCAATCATTTAGTAATTGCAATGCAGTTCTTCACAAGTTCACAATTCGCAAGTTAAGGTTGGTTTTCAACTGCATAAATGTGAGTAAAGTATATCAACATAAAAGAAACATCTCACTTTTATAATGCAATTTGTTACAGATGAGTTACCTCAATATTTGTTGAGATGTAATTTTGTCAGTCGTCAGTTCATTCCAATGAAAAAACAAAGTAAAAGAAGCCCAGGAAAGTAAGCCTGTGGAATTTACAAGCTATTTCCCAACAGAGGACCGACCGCCGGCTATACACTAAGCTGCTGAATTTACATTTCTAACCCTCAATTCCCCAGGAACGCAAAAATTGAGGGGGTCAAAGGAAATGAACAACTATGACAAACCATAGCCATAAGAATTAGGGTGCTCAAAAAGAATGATGGGAAAAGAGGCTAGAAAACCCAGAAGCAAACGCCTAATTCTAATTCAACCCTCGATTCTTACCGAGTGAAAGCGATCATCCATCCCTGTGGCTAATTTTGAGGACAGTAACAAAAAGACCTTTAGTGAGTAGTATAATGGCATTCTCATGCATGTCAATGGGCTTATTCTTCACTTCCAGTGGGAATGCTCGACTTATCAGACATGCGTACATTGTACAGTTTGTAAACTCTTGCTCGGTTCTCTGCCCACCACTGTTCTGCCTGTTTCTCACTAAACCTCTTCCGGCTGCATTTAAACAGTTATTAAGATTTTAATTTCATACATAATAAATATGGTAGAGGCTTATAACCTTTGACTGCTCTAACTCAATGTTTTGAAGAGATACATTGCTAATTAGCTCACAAGGGCAATGCAAAAAGTAAAGGCATCAACAAAGCATATCCAATTGGAAAAGTAACATCTAGTTAGAATTAAGATACCTGAATCGAACACGCTTAAGATCCTTCAAGCCTCCTGGCAAGGAAGTAAGTGTAATATACACACCGGGCTCATCTTGCTCGACCCATTCATTCTCATTTCGAGAATCACTCTCTTTTGTTCTGTTCCCATTTCTTGCCATTGCCTCAGAATTCCCTTGCCTGTTATGACCATTATTCCAATTACCAGCAATGTTCAATCCATTAGAAAGTGGCTGGCTGTTGCCTCCATTTGAGTCTAATTCCTGAGAAGATACTTGACCATTCAAATGGTCAATAGACACATTTGAAATGTCAACAGATAGAGGACTTGAGATAAAGGAAGCAGATGTAGGAGATTTGATGTTGCGGGCAGCACCAACAGGCAATCTTTCAGCCATTTCCTTCAGCTACATCAAGTGTCAACAACAAACAGATGATTAGCAACAGAAGTATCATAGTGAACAATTTTAAAAAAAAAAAAAAACAAAAACAAAAAAAAAAAAAAAACAAAAACAAAAACAAAAACAAAAACAAAAACAAAATTAAATTAAAAATTCAACATTATTGGATAGATGGCAAAACAGCTAGCACCATAACTCTTAAAAATGTCAATTCTATATTGAAAAAATGCTATTCTCACCTACTAAAATCACTACATAATTTTCACTCCCTAATATGGAATTAATTAGAAAAGAAAATTTATTTATTTTCATGGACTACTCATGAACTGGCCAACCCCACCATAAGTAATTAAAAAAGTTACATAATAATCAAATATAAAAAGCATCCAATAAAATGATAACACGTTGTAGTGATTAATAGGAAAAAACTTTTGTAAGAGTGTCTAGCACAGCTCATCTATATTCCTTAAGGTTGCTTACACAAACACACACATCAAATTGTAGGGGCTAAATCAGGAAATAAAAGCAGAGAAAATCAGGAAAAATGAGGAAATAAAATCCCTAATCTAAGATTCCAAACCAAAAATAAATCCCTTACATTAGGGAATACAACAACAGAAACTTTCCCACAATAACTAATGTTTGTCCAGAGATCTACTCAAGCATTTGGTTTGCAATCTTGAATTGTAATTTGATGAATGAATGTTTTGTGCATTTTTTAGGATTTTTGTTTTTTGGTTAGATTTTTTTAGAATTTCAAGTACAATTAGTGTGAAATTTAATAGAGAATTTCTGTATTTTAGTAGTGTTCATAATATTTCATTATTTGAAAGGGATTCAACATGATTAAATTTTAACAACATTTGAAAGAATATATTGATATTGTTCAATGATAACTAACTTTTGGATTTGAAACAAATAATTTTTAAATTTTATTTTGTAATTTGATGTTTAGTTGAGTGTATTTATACATGTTTAAACAGTTTTATATTTCACCATACATTTATTTTCAAAAGATAGCAAATAACATATAAAAAAAAAAAAATCTTATTGTTAGATCTTTTCATTTGATATTATGGCTATATTCAAATTTATTTTATTTTATTTTATTTGTAGATGCCTCTCTTTATTGTTGATTATTGTTGAACCAAGGGGCATGCTACTACTGAATTTTTTAAAAAGATTATAATGTTTTTATTTGGTTGATATGATACTGCTAGGAGGATATATTTTTTATTGCATACGATTTGCACATGTTTGGTTCTTTATTGAAATAATTCTCATATTAAAAAGTGTACTTTTAGTAATTGACATCCTATTTTTTTCCTTTTGCCATGGAAGCCTAATTATCTACCTTATCTTTTTTTTAGATGTAAAAGCTTGAAATGCAGTAAAATTTTGACACAGGAATTGGCTAATATAATGCTTTTAGAAAACAGTGTTTTACTATATAAAAATAGATTTGTCACTAATACAGGTAATTTAGCACAAGCATCCATCTTACCTGAGCAGTGAGTGACTTGATTACTTCTTTTGCTGCTTTGCACTTGGCAGTCTCCTCCCCTGCTATTGTTATTGCCTCCTTCAGCTGTTTGGTAGTCATTTCTAGTTCTATCTCCTGAAGACGAGCCTTGCGTGTAAGATTGTCTACCTGAGAAAAAGATAAATCAAACAAAATGTTAAAAGTAGCAAGGGGATGGAAACAGTGGATAGCATTTCCCATTGGTTTGAAAAATTCCCCAGGGACCAATTGCATTTCATACACACATAAAGCCAAGTATGCTGGGTAAAAGGAAAAACCAAGTGAAAATAAAGGTGGTAATGAGAAACTATAGAGCTTTACATGGAAATACCACTCCAGTGGTGCAGAAATGTAGGTCCTTTTTCCTAGAATAAGATTGAGAAATAACTTTCCTAAGAAATGGCATGCAGATCTTGAATTAAAATGTAACTCTCAATCTTCTATTTTACCCACATAGGATCCAGAGTTATTATTGACTTATCACATACATTCGGCCTTTACTCAAGTTATTTTTTGAAGAAAAGGTCAAATAAAGCTTTGGTTTTTACTCTATACACATTAGCTTCAAAATGTGTCCTCATCATCCTTAAAACATCTTGAAGATTAACAGAAGCAGGAAATCCAATATCCCATCTAGATCACCCTAAAATCCACATATACAGAGAGCTTCTATGACATTTTTACTTAAATTTTTACAATCAACAACCTGTTACTGCATGCCTACAAATCAAATGAAATCATGTAAAAAAGGATGAAATCTATATGTGATGCTTCTCTAATGGGTTATACAAGGGATTACAAGCATTTATTGAAGTTTGTTACTTTCTTCCTATCCCACAAAAAAGCAAGTGTTCATTATTGGGAAAAATTCCATGGCTGCCACATACTGCATAGGTAAAAACCTTTAGCTAAAAATAACATGATATAGCTTAGGGATAAATTACACCTAGCAGATCCAATGGTGTTTCAACTTTCAAATATTACACCTAGCAGAAATAAATTATGATGACTGATGATAACAAGAGAATGAAAAATAAAATATGATCAGAGATAAATTGCTAGATTACTTGGTGGTGGGATAATTACAAGAGCCTAGAATTTATGGGTCAAAAGAATATAAGAATCTAGATTCATAACATTGTCATTTACCACATCTGATAAATTAATGTGACTTTGACTCTTCAGCTCTTAGTTTTCCAACAAGTTTTAAGAGATGAAATTGGATATAGGAAGGTATGATTACACTACACAATGATCAAAAGAGGAGACAAGAAATATTAACCTCAGGTCATGATTAGAGTTTAGACTACTGCATTAATTATATAAATAACACACTTTCTCATCTGGAGATCCCTATTCTAATAGTTCACTCAAGCTCACAGTGAACTTCCCACTCAAACTTATAAGTTACAATCCTTCATGACCCAGATGTCCTTCATGGAGATCCCTATTCTAATACACTTTCTCATCTGGAGATCCCTATTCTAATAGTTCACTCAAGCTCACAGTGAACTTCCCACTCAAACTTATAAGCCCAGATGTCCCAAGTGTCCCAATGAACTTTATTGAAGCAATTCTTCTCCTTATACACCACAATGTAATCGTTTTGAGTGCCTGTTAGTTTCAACTTATCTAAAGAACAAATGATGCCAAATATGTCATTGGAAATGCAGCTTTGGAGCATGAACTCACCCATTCCTTTTGCATGTCATTTAGGGGTAAAATAATGAAATAATATTATTTTTAATGAAATAATATTATTTTTAATGAAATAATTAACTGTTAATGTTGACGATTAGTCAAGCTAAGCTAAGTGCTTATAAAGTATGACTTAACTCTAATAACAAGTGGGTAAAGTAAAATTAACCCTATTATAACCAAACAAAAAGATTATTTGAATTCATAGTTACTTTTTAAGTGAAAAAGCAATAAATTTATCATCATCATTATTTTGCATGAAAGACCTGATTGACTGACTGAAATGCAAACTGAAACCAAAGGGATTTTAACTGTGATTTGGAAACAACTGGGGATCCAAGTATTACTGTCAAAAGCCTCAGAGTAGTTTTGTTCATAGGATTAGGGAGAATTGGATAACCTAATCCTGTGATTGGTTCATTTTAATGGATTTGGGATTACAACACCCAATCTAAAATGCGGGGATTATAATAAAGGTGGGGAGGCAGTGGGACAAATTATCCCAATTTTTTGGATAAACAAAACAAAGGGAATGATTTTTTTTTTTTTTTTGCACCAAACAAGCCTTAAGAGATCCACATGAAATAATCTTACAGTAAAATGAGAAAGTTGCACTATTGGGAAATGGTAGAACAGTAAGATGCTTACCTGTGCTCTCAATCTAATGAGTTCTTGGTTAAGGTTATCATTTGTCTTCTTAGAATCATCGAGTACAATCTTTGGCGAAGTGAGTCCGCCTAGAGTTGGGGTTGGTGTAGTAGAACGAGGTGGACTTGCCCGTCTTGATACTGGAGATGTTGCTCTAGAAACAATTCTTGATCCAGGAACAGAAGCTGAAAAGAACTTCTTAGATGAACCAAACACCGGATTAAAAGATTTGGAGGCATTGAGGGTTCCCCATTGTGAGCTACCATTTGGAATAGGTGATACACGACTGCTATTGAATTCCAACTTTTTCTTTTGCTTGGAAGTGCGGACTTCACCTTGTTTAAAGGTTTCCATTGAAGAAAACCTCGCAAGATGAGAACGGGACCTTGTATCCAACTTCTCCTCTTTATCAATAACATCATTTATCCCCTGATCCATACTTCCTCTTCTACTAACAGAAGACTGACATGAAGCATCAGTTTCAGCAGCTTTTTTCAATTTAAAAAAGCAATTATCACATACACGATATGATTTATTAGGATTTGGTGCCATTGATGCCCTCAGAGATTTCTTGCTGCTGCATGAATGACAAAATACAAGCCCACAATTATAACAGTTATGCCGTTTCCTTTTAAAATTAAATGGAAGTCGGCATCCAGAACACATAGATTGATCAACCCCTGAAACCCATTTGTGAAGGCAGATGGCTGCAGTAAAATTGGTACCACAAGCAATGCTTTTGACTTGCTTGTCTTTTAGAGCTTCAATTAAAGTTGGTGAATTTCTGTCATCAATATCCCCGTGACCCAATCTTCCATTAGCACCCTTTCCCCACGTGTAAACTTCAGTTCGGGAAGTCAACACAGCAACATGGTAAGCACCACAAGCTATCTCCTCAACAAAACTCTTTGCAATTTTTGCTTCAACACGACATGGAAATTTTCCATCAGCTTGAGGATTTCCTAACTGGCCATAAACAGGACTACCCATAGTGTATACTTGACCTGAAGTGGTTAGAGCAACAGTCAAGCTGTGTCCGCAAGCAACCTGGCAAAAGTTGGGCTCAACAAGAGCAGCAACACAGGTGGGCACAAGTCTTGATTCCTTGTCACCATGTCCAAGTCGACCTTTATCACCATCTCCCCATGTAAATAGTTTTCCGGATGAACAATTGCTAGAGCTTGAGTTTCCAACCATGACTTCTACAACAGCAGCACTATGCCAAACACCACAAGCTGCTCGTACAGTTCGAAGTCCCTTGAGAGATTCCACTTCCCTAGGTTTAAAAATGCTTTTTCTATCTCCATGTCCAAGAACACCAAAGGTTCCATCACCAAAAGTAAACAATTGCCCAGCAGAGGTTACAACAGCAGTGTGCCAAGGACCACAACAGATAAATGAGACATGGATGCCCTCCAAAGGCCCATTTACTCTTTTTGGAACCCAATGACTCACTTCATTCCCATGCCCAAGAAGACCAAAATGACCATCACCCCAAGTATACAGATCACCAGAAAGTGTTACAGCACAGGTATGATATTCACCACAAGCAACAAGCTCTATGTTTGAAATGCTGAGGGCATCTATAAGCTTTGGATTTGAAACATCTGCATCAATGCCATGCCCAAGCCTGCCTCCTGATTCTTCACCCCAGGAGAACATCTCTCCTTGCTTTGTCACTAGTGCAGCATGGCGTCCACCACAAGCTATATTCTGCACATCTAATACAACAGCAGATTCTAAAGCCTTAGGCAATAAAGAATCCAGTGTGACATCCAAAGAGCTTCCAACACGGTGGGGTCCACCACCCATTACACCATCCCCAATACCTTCACCCCAAATAAAAACATCCCCCAAGGCATCACCATCATCATGCCCAGAACCTTGACTTGATGAACTAACGGCACTTGAAAGACTTACTCTAAAACCATCAATTCCTGTTGCCTTCATGTGACCATGCATTCCATCTGAGCCTCCAGAAGACAAGGAATGTATAGAACCACTAGCAGAATCTGAAGGGAAAAACACTTTGGGAGGCAACAATATCACATCTGAAAAAGCCTTGTCCAAACCGTTTTTTGGAGGGCTTCCATAAGGACTACGAAGTCTTAGCTGATCACCAAGATCCTGCTTCAGAGGTAGAAACTAATTCAACATATTGTAGTGGGGTTTTCTTTTGAATGCAGAGTATATGTAGCACCAGATGAGAAAGAGGGAGGGGGGAAGAAGGGAAAGAGAAATAAAAATGCGAGTACACTTCATCCTTAGTTTTCATTTATTGGTTAGTCCAAATTGACCAACCCATTACAAGTATTACAATTCCATATTGTATTTCTTGATTGAAATGCCAGCCAATACATGAAAAAGTTAAAGATGAAATGTCAAAATTATACATAATCTGATGCGCTAGCCTTGGGATACTTAATTATTTCTCAAAGAAACAAGCATATTTTTGAACTGCTTTAATTTTATAATAATTGTGTGATTGTGTAATAAATAACGCACAAAAGCTCTCCGGCATTGCACATACAATGTGTTATCCATAGCTTTAATTTGCTTATATATATATATATATATATATATATATATATATATATATATATATATATATATATATATATATATATATATATATATATATATATATATATACATATGTATATATATATATATATATATATATATATAGCGTTATGATGAATGTATTAGACCTAACCCTAGCAGTAAAATCCTAGTCCTAATCCATGTAGTAATGGGCTTAGCCAAACATGTTTATATAAATATTTAGGTCCTCTGTAAACACTTGTATGCATAGAAGAATACAATAAAACCTTTTCTACTTTCACAGTATATACCTTTTGTGAGCTATTACCACTACCAAATGGAGAATGCAATGGAGAACTTCTTCGTGTGTACGTCCTGGGACTAGTAGCACCTGAAGAGATCCCATCACTTCTTGATTCTGTCCTCCATTTTCGCTGATGACCACGTGAAATCAATGCCTTCAAGCCACTAAACCAGACCTCTGCCTCATCTTTGTCTTTACATATCTAGAATAAATACAGAGAAGAGAAAGAACACAAAAGTTGCAGTCAACACTTTAACCAGAAAAGAAGGCGATGGCCGATGGCTAAGCTAGATTGAAACTCTTACCAAATCCAAAGATCTGTCGTTGTATATCAGGGAAAATGACTGGTACTCTTTCTCAGGCCTTGGGTATCTTTGAAAAATTGGCTGGCAAAGAATATTAATATGCTTAGAATAATCAAATAACATAATCCAGACTTTACTAAAAAAGCTTATGATGTGGGATTGAAAATATAAAATTAATAATTTGTAGATTAGTATTCACTGAGTTACAATTTTATTTGGCACATTTGGCATGCAACTAATTAAGCAGCTTGTTATTTATGGAAAAAAAAAAAAAAAAAAAAAGATGTGTGTGTTGAATATTAGGAAACTCCTAGTAGGGTGGGCTTAGTTTCCTAATCCTATTAGGTTAATTTAGTATCTAGTTTAGTATATATAGAGGTCCATAGACATAGAGATATATTCTATTGTAATCTTTCACTATAATATATTCTCTTTATTCTCTTGATCTTTGGTTCTCACATATTTTGCTTCCGCCTAACTGGCGGGTGGTGGTTATTCTCCACCCGCCAGACCTATCAATCCCTCAATTTCAACATGGTATTAGAGCCTACATTCCTAGGCTATATTTCTTCAAATATTAAAACCCTAACATAAACCTTAGCCTTCCGCTGCCGCTGTCACCACTGGAGTTCGCCACCATCGGAGGGTCACCACTGCCGCGGCTGTTTTCTTTGTTCCGTCGCTTGCCTATTGGTTTTTCTCCCTAACCAACTCCACGGGCCGACTAGGAACCTCGTTGCGAGCTTCAGAGTGAATTCCGGTCGCCGTCTGCCGCCGCACGTGCCTCCATGTGCCACCACCGCCGCCGAGATCTGCTATCGTTTTCCGGCCAGATCTCTCTGCTCCGATCTCCGTTCGAGACGTCGTTGCCACCATTGGATTCGTCTCGAGGAGACGCATCTACCTGTGTTTCCCGATCTTCCGTTGGTCACCGGTCAACACCGATCAACTTTGCCGGTCAATGGTCAACGTCAGTCAAACCTCCCTTGAGGCAGAATCTCTTGCCATTTTTGGACTTTTTGGTGAAATTTGAAGGTTCTTTTTTGGATTTGTTGCCGAACTTCTCCCCATGGTGTTTGTGTTTTGGTATAACCGTGTTTGTTTCTTTATCTCCGGTATGCCTTATCCCATGGGCCTTCAGTTTCAGCACTATTATAAAGGCCTTTGATTATTTCAATATTTCCCATGTTTCAAGTAAGGGGGAGTGCAACTATCTACAATCAGTGTGTTATCCTTTGCTATTTTGTCTTCATTACTATGGGCTCTATTGCATCCTTTGCTATTCTTTGCTCCCTTTTTGTCTCTATTGCTCTTTTGTGTTATCGGGAGGTTGTTCATGTTCAACTCTATCCTTGGTGTGTTCATCTTCATTCCCGAGGTTCGTGTTCAATTCCGCTCTCGGTGTGTTCATTTCCAAGATCGTGTTTAGCTTCGTCCTTGGTGTCTTCGTCTTTATTCCCAAGGGTCCTTGGTGTCTTCGTCTTTATTCCCAAGGATTGTGTTCAGCTCCGTTCTTGGTGCCTTTGTGTTTATTCCCAAGGAAGGGTCAGACATAGTGCAATCTTCTTTGAAGTCATCCGTGCTTATGTTGCTGCGATGGTGTTCGTGTTAGTCTTTACCCTTGGTGCCTCCATTCCCAAGGATGTTCATGACAAGCTTCGCCCTTGGTGCCTTCATTCCAAGGGTTGCATTGTCCCTCCGAAGCCATTTAGCACTGTTAACCTCTAGTTGCATTTAATTTTCATTTGTAATTTTGAGTGAGGTAGAGTGCTTATTTTAATCCAAGCTTGGAACTTTAATGTTCCAGCTTGAGGGGGAGTGTTGAATATTAGGAAACTCCTAGTAGGGTGGGCTTAGTTTCCTAATCCTATTAGGTTAATTTAGTATCTAGTTTAGTATATATAGAGGTCCATAGACATAGAGATATATTCTATTGTAATCTTTCTGTTGTGTTCTCACGTCACGGGCAAGAAAACATAAGGAAAATTGAATAGAGAATAACAATTGGAAAATAAAGAGAAGAAAACACTGGGTTTGCTTGAGACCCAAAACTCCCTTAGACCCTTTTTGGGATTCAATTTCTGCTTGCATTATTCTCAATAATACTCCCTTTTTATAGGGTAAAATACAAGTATACAACTCATAGAATGGCTAAATAAGCTAAGTAATCTGCTGAAATCTTCAAGTTTATTTCTAAATAATTAAACTACCTAAATTAATTCGAAGACTAAGAATAATAAGTTAAGTAACTATTTAGTAATTTCTAAATAACTATTTATTAGTTTCTAAACAACTATTTAGTAATTTATTAATATCTAAACTATGTAATATAATAAAATAAGACTTCCTAAAATCCTGGTCCCAAGCATGTATCATTACTCCCCTCTTGGACCACAAGCTTGTCCTCAAGCTTGATAACCTCGTGCAGCTGTAGCCAACACCTCCCACGATCAAATGGCCTCCTCAAAAGAAGTACAAATGGAAGAAACTCAACTGGCATTCTACATATCAATGGAGGAGCAAATAGTGGTGAGGAAGACCCCAAACTTGGACATCCTTTGAAGGATTTAGTTGGAACAGCAACATTGGATGATGAGAGAGACACCAGAGATGAAGGCTGACCAATACCGTACAACACAACCCTTAAATGAGATGGGGTTGGAGAGTGGTGAAATAACCCTCTCAAGCATAGGACGGTTTTTGGAAAGGGCACAACCTCAATTTCAGTAGAGTCAGCAGCCTTTTGTGTTGAATCAACATGAGGCTGATCGACTGAAACGTTGGCCTGCATCGGCACTATCTCCACATGTGGGTGGTCAACAATGATTGTTGATGATTCAAGTGAAGTAGCCGCATCCTTTGTTTGCTTAATTTTGGAGAGAATCGGCGGAAGCAAGTCCTTCAGGTCAGCGGAAAATTTGCGTAAAACTTTGTCTAAGTGTTTCAACACAGTCGCTATTTCTGTGAGAGCTTCAAACTCCGACTGAGTGATGCCCATGACGCCGGCAACGGAACCAATGTTGTGTTCTCACGTCACGGGCAAGAAAACATAAGGAAAATTGAATAGAGAATAACAATTGGAAAATAAAGAGAAGAAAACACTGGGTTTGCTTGAGACCCAAAACTCCCTTAGACCCTTTTTGGGATTCAATTCCTGCTTGCATTATTCTCAATAATACTCCCTTTTTATAGGGTAAAATACAACTCATAGGATGGCTAAATAAGCTAAGTAATCTGCTGAAATCTTCTAGTTTATTTCTAAATAATTAAACTACCTAAATTAATTCGAAGACTAAGAATAATAAGTTAAGTAACTATTTAGTAATTTCTAAATAACTATTTATTAGTTTCTAAACAACTATTTAGTAATTTATTAATATCTAAACTATGTAATATAATAAAATAAGACTTCCTAAAATCCTGATCCCAAGCATGTATCACTTTCACTATAATATATTCTCTTTATTCTCTTGATCTTTGGTTCTCACATATTTTGCTTCCGCCTAACTGGCGGGTGGTGGTTATTCTCCACCCGCCAGACCTATCAATCCCTCAATTTCAACAGCTAATCACTTCTGTAAAATACGCAGCATACACTGTTTTATGATTAAGCTATAAAATTCTCTTAAGCTCGTTATATCATGATAGATAGAAAAATAGAGCATCCTGAGTCCTGCCAGCGAGAAACTTACAGTGCGCTGTCCAGAAATTATTCTGGAGACATGACTCAGTTTAAGATATTTCTCCTCTTTGCCTGAAATCCATATTAGAGCAGACTCATCCTGAAACAACAACCAAAATTACATCGAAGACTTTGAAAATGAATGCCGAGTACAAATATCAGAAAACCAGAAAACAAGAAGGAAGTCCTTCAAAAGAGAATCAACTTGGATATAATTCATAACACTGAAACCTATAGTAAACTAAAGAACACCATAAAATAGGAAACAAAAATTAAAGTTGCATCCATACATACAGTTACATGCTAGTCTTTTTCAGTAAGGACACAATTCCTATAGAAAAATTCATCACTATACATCCTGGGGCCAATCTGTTTTGTCAAAGATATTTGGACTGCTACTCAAAAGATACAAGGTTCCTTCTCAAAATGGGCAAAGATTAGATGATATGCTCTTTAAACAAAATATAACACCTTTCGGATAGACTTTCAGCAGAAGTTAACACAAAGAAGCAAATTAAAGAATGCAATGACTCAAATTTGAATCGATTCTACCAAGCACATACTAATATTCTGTTTGGAAAAGTTGATAGCATGATTTCTAATGTAAGAGAAGTCTAGCAATCCATAAAACAACCACTTAAAGCAGGTCCTTATCAGAGACCTATTGTCCAAGTGGAAGGAGTTTGGTTCCACATAAGCAAGGTCTCAGGTTCAAGCCTTGTGAATAGAGCAACCAAAGTTTTTAAAACGAAACGCACAGTAGAACGACAGGGGTCTATCTCACTATAAAGCACAAATCAAAGCATCGTTTTTGTATAAAAAGACACAATGTGTCAAAATTAAATATTATGATCTAGAATGATATATAAATGGTTTATAAATGCAAAAAAAAAATATATATATATATATATATATATATATATATATATATATATATATATATATATATATATATATATATATATATACTGTAGTTGACACCAGTTCATAACAATACAGATCATCAGGTGTATGACATCCTTAATCATTGATGTTTACCATTAAGCAACAAAATGATTCCTTTTGACAATTGTACAAAATTCTACAGTTAATAAAAATAATAATAATAGAATCATATTAACATAATATTCCATTATTTATTGGTCACTGTTATTTATCTAACACATATTAAAGTATTAATGAAACACAATATTGAATGCATTAATTAATTAAGGTTTATTTATTTAATTTTAAAAAAAAAAAATCACCTAGAGTGTGCACTGCCCACCACTTACCACCCACTCTTTGTGGCCGTCTCTTTTTGTCCACATACAGTGTGCAGAGAGAGACAGAGTGAAGAAGCAAACAATGAAGAAAGAGAGAAAGAAAAGCACAGCGATTGAGCGATGACCAAACTTCTTCCAAGAAAACAAAGGAGAAGAGATTAGAGTCGTTGGAAGCTATGGAGTCAACTCTCTTAGCTGAAGTAGCATTCGGCATACCTCTTAGAGGATTCTTGCCAGAAGCTATGGGTGAACGAAGGAGAAGAGATTAGAGTCATTGGAAGCTGGACTCAACTCCCTTAGCTGAAGTAGCATACCTCTTAGAGGATGACCGATTCAAACCAGAAGCTATGAAGTCGCCGACAGGTTGCCAAAAGTTATGGAGTCACCAAATGATGGTCGGACACTATAGAGTTGCCAAGCACTATATCGAGATTTGAGTAAATATTTTAAGTGATCGCTTTATACCTCGATCATTTCAATCTAAGGCGACCACTTTGCTGTGCTTTTATGTTTTTCGTTACTTCACTAAAGTGACATGATGCAATTTTAATCGCATTCACTTTGTCATTAAGCCGACCACTTTGCTGTGCTTTCGCTTTCAACAAGCACGAGAGCAATATGCATTGGGAGAGCTCCCCTAGGATTTGGGGGCAGCTTAATACAGGATTAGTCAAACCCAGTGGCTACCAATACTGGGGGGACAGAGAGAGGGGGGGGGAGAGGTCATGGTACCCAAAAAAAATAAATACAAAAAAAAAAAAAAAAAGAAAGAAGAAGCAGATACCCAACTTGGGAAGTGCCAATAACATTCATCAAATCATAGGGGATCAAACTCTTTATCAAGTGGACAACTTGTTGAAAGCTAATTTCCCAAGAACTAGTTCAGGTTAATTACAGGTATGCCAAATGGAGATAACAGACTGGAAACATGTTTAATTGCTTGTGGAAACTTTTAAATTGACTACAGTAGTACAGTGGCATACTATCTTATTTTAGTTAAGCATACCATAGGATATCTCCAACATTAGCTGGCAAATAAATATGCATGGTTAATACCCAACAGATATTATATAAAAGAACATATATTGTTAAATAGGACCTTAAACATTAATTACCAAAAGAACAGACCTAACTGTATCTTGTAATAAAGAGAACAACTCAGCTTGTCAGTCCCCATTTTAAGAAAGGAAATGACATTAAAGCATGTACAATGTTGACATTTCACCAAAGGAAATGACATGAATAAAGATCAAAGAGAACACAAAGTAATACAAGTGCAACCTATCAAAATAATTAATAACAATTAGTAAAAGGAAAGTGCTAATAAGAATGTGTCTAGGAATAAAACTTACATTTGCCAAACGGAAAGGACAAAACTTGGGTTTTCCTCTTCTTCCATACTTGAGCAAGTGTGCCCCTTTCTTAAGAGCAGTTACAGCCTGTTGAAAACATCAGCAATAACCTAATTAAAATAACCAAATCCTAACCCAGAGAAAATAAGCATGTAACTTTCTCAAAAGAAAGGGAGACAAAGAAGTTTTAAGAGGTTAAATACTTGTACTTAAAAAATACAAATAAAAATAAAGAAAAACATGTGAATATCTCTCCTTGCCACTCTCTGGAACTTCAGAATCCAACTGCTTAGTTTTTTAATTCTCTATCTGGAAAAGAGATTACATGGTAAAGTTGTCAATTTCGCAATAGTACAGTGCCTCTGATGAGCAGTAGACATCCAGGCAAAATGTTGTATGCACTGCTGCCCAATTTTACATTCTATTTGTATCTCAATTTCAAATATATTCATTTCACAGCCCTTAACTATCTAGAATTCAGATAATCATTTGAGAATTTGACTGGTAATCTCATATTCAAATGTGTTAACTGTTAAGGAGAAGGGGAAACAATCATAATGAATAAAAAGAGATAGAATGTCAATTTCTAACTTGTAACTCAAGTCAATGTAAATGTAAATTAGCTATTCTTACTTGTTAATTCACTATGTAACCATATGGTAAGTCTCTAATCCAAAATTAACTCTTAATTTGTGTATGTAAGAACACTTTCTACAACCAAATTTTACCTAAATCCCTTAAGTTTGTCATTCCAAGGAACATTCCTTGCTATCTAGCATCAATCACCTGCCATCTGATACAAACAAGGAGTCCACAATGTTCAAGAGAAGATTTACCTCAACAAGGTGCTAATGCCACAATATATTATAAGTATAAGCCTTGAGCTTGCCACTTGTGGGCATTATTGAAAAGAAGACAGGAATGAACTGTGACAATCAATGTATGAGCTAAGGAGTATTTTATCAGCTTTCCAGTCAATCTTTATTTCTCTATTTTATTTATTTTCCCGGAGACGAAAGAAAGCATTATACAAGTATTGCCAGTAACTTAAACAGAGCTATAGATTGGTAATGGTAAATACTCCGGAACAACAACAACAACAACAACAATAAGACACCAATTTGCACACAAAAGATCATAAAGTTACCTGCTCAATGTCCCTTTCAACAGGTCCACCAGTTCTCCCAACATCCGAATTCATCCTATCCGCAATGTGAGAACCGAAGTACAAGCCCTAACTCTACTTAAAACCGCATCCCAAATCCAATTCATTACCAAGCCCATAGAGCCCTCCCATCCCATGCAGCAATCATCTACCAATCAATCAGCCCAATTTACAAGCTCACCACGATTTCCGGAGCTCAAACACTAGGAAAACGGCGGATTATAGTCGCAGTGCAACGCGGAAGTGAAGCGGAGAGCGTGATTTCCAGTGAGTATAACAAGGAAGCGACGGATCGAGCGAGGAATCTCTGGAGTGAACTTCACTTTACTGAATGGCGGACGAACGGCCCTGCTGATATATATGCACAAATACACAAACACAGATATGCGTATGCATATTATAGAGAGAGATTAGGGGGAAAGTGAAGCAACTAGGGATCAGCAGAATCTAAGTGTAATAATGGAGATATTCAAAAGAGCAGAGAAAATGAACGCTTTGATCTGAATATTAAATTGCAGGAAACGCAGGTGGGAGAAGACACTTAACAGCCAGGGCCAAGGGAGAGAGACAGACAGAGACAGTGTTTGGACTAACCATAACTATCAAAATTATTTTTTTTCTTTTAATGGAGTCTCATTATATTGACTCTTTAACATTAATTAATTATTTAAAAAGAAAACCACATTTTTTTCTTTTTAAATTTTAATTACACAACGCTAAAAATCACAACAATTTAGAGAATCTAAGTCAACCAACGTCAACAATTTTGACACAAATAAGTGATTAAATCTTTCTAATTATGAATTTCAAAATAAATGGACTAGAATAATAAGTGGAGATATAAAATCTATAACATAGGGTAGTCCCAAACCTGACAAATGATTCATGGGCTATTTTATTACGAGTTGTGTGACATGTTGTAATATGGGCATTAGACAACCACAGATTGAAAGTGACTTTTTTATTACAATTTGGAATGTGATGAACGGGATACATGATAGGAGCGCTCACTACCACCTTGTTGGAGCCATATACGAGGTATCTTTCTCAAGATGTGAACTATGCGGTTAAGCATGTTAATAGAAAATCGTTTCTAAAACTTGATGGTGGGAATAAGAATTTACTTTTTAAGATAAGTAAATCTTTCTAAAGATTTTAAATACAATTTGATGAATTATATTCTAGTGGATTGAACTAATGCGGCCTAACCCAATCGCGCAGGAAAAAGTCAAACAACATAAAGGAGCATAGAACAAGTGTGAAGGTCAAACTTGAACAAAAGGACGACCCATCGACCATAGTCCTAGGGACGATGCGCATGTCAAGGACAAGAGATGTCTACATTTTAGTTATGATCATGGTTAAGGTAATTACGTAATGGGTTATAATGATACCCTTAAAGTCAACTCCTTGTAACACATGCTAACATCATAAATACTCTTCTAGTGAGGGGCTAACTTGACTTCAGATTCTTCCTGAACATAGCTTCAATTTCGGCCAGAGATTTTCATTTTTAATTTGTATTATTGACATATGTTATTTCTCATTGCAAGAATCCAAGGTCAAGTTGGAAAGAACTTGACCTCAGATTCTTGCAACGAGAAATAACATATGTCAATAATACAAATTAACAATGAAAATCTCTGTCCGAAATTGAAGCTATGTTCAATAATATTCCAATCACAATGAACTGATCAAATTCATACTCTTCTCATTCGTACTTCTCTACTTTTATATCAATTCATCATGACAATAAATATACTCAGGTGTTTAATTTACTACTAACGACTCAAGTTGACTAAATCCATCACAAATATTGTTTGGCAATTATGTTACCAAATTGACTAAATTCAATAATTATTAAACAATTTTAAAAATCATAGTTTATAAAACTAAAATAAATGTCATATATTGAGTAATTCGTAACGATTGACGAGGAAAAGTGTAATTAAAAATAAAAATAATAATAATAATAATAATAAAAAGGTTAGAGACAAGATGTTGAAAGCTTTGGACTGTATGCACCTTTAGATCGATGACTTCTACTCTTTCCCAATTATATTCGGTTTGTTTATATTATTATATTCTCTCTCTTCCTCTCTTAATCTATTTCTTTTTATCTTTTTTTTTTCCTGGTTTCCCTGAAAAGAATTATTATTTTCATTAATGCATTTGTTATTTTGTCCGTTCTCGTACATCTATAATTGGTAAATATACAATTTCTATCTATCTATCTATACTATATATATAATATAATCTATCTATCTATGTACTATATATACTAATGTGAGATTACCGGAATGTAATATTACCTTATGTGTTTGGTTTGGATTATGGAATATAATATTACCGTATTTGGTTAAGGGTTATATTTTAGGTTATATGAATCAATTTACAATAATGTCATCAATAATATATATATATATATATATATATATATATATATATATATATATATGTGTGTGTGTGTGTGTGTGTGTGTGTGTGTGTGTGTATTTATTTTATTTATTTATATGTATGAATGTATATCAATGTTCAAATATTAAAAAACTAAATATATAAATATACACATGTATAATAATAATAATAATAATAATAATTATTATTATTATTATTATTATTATTATTATTATTATTATTATTATTATTATTATTATTATTATAAGGATAAAGATTAGTTAATAAGGGCAAAGTTGGAATAATTCAAGGTAATCTAAGATTACCTAAAAAAATGGGTTTAATCACATTACCTTGAAACATTACCGCCACATCAGCTTTCAGGTAATATAACATTACCAGGTAATCTCATAACTTGAACCAAACAAGGTAATATAACATTACTAGACTCAGATTACCTAGGTAATCAAAGATGACCTGAACCAAACGCCCCCTAAGAGTATTAGGCCTATAACAGAAATTTAAAAATTATCTATCAAATCATTTGATGAAATAAATTATTCAGATTATTTTGATTTTAGTATTTTTTATACTCTATCTTCTATGATATTATTTATTATTTATTATTATTAACTTACTCATTGGTTTGTATAAGGTATTAGGTTCGAACCCCATCTCAATCAAGGGCATAACTGTTGAGCATATAGTATGAATATAAAATTAACATTAACTTTGTTAGAATGTATTAAAACATACAATATAAAATTTAACATGAACTTTGGTCAATTAATTAGACAAATTATATAAATAGCATTCAAAGTTGAGCATCAAATATTACAAAAAAAAAATCTTGAAAATCATTTTCTTGCATTTTATTTTTAAAACAAATCTATGTTACGTTTTTTTGTTTCTTTTTTTTTGTTTAATTAATCATCTTTTGAATATTTAGAACAAAGACTCAATATTTTAATTATACTTTTGCATTATTGGGAATGATTTATGTCATTTTCTTGTATTTTTATTGTTACTGTCAAGTAACAAGTTATGAAAATAGAATAATAGGTACTACTGATGAACCTTATACAAATATAATAAATATTAATATTTTATTCAATACTTCCACATGAAACATGTAGGGGGGAAATTATCACTGCAAAATATCAATAGGCGCTTGCATGATCAAGAGTTGATAGTATAACTAAGATCACAATCATATACACAGCAAGGCAAATCCATATCTTCCTACACCATAATCTCCTTGTATGACGATGTCATTTATGTTACCACCAGTAACCCAATTGCAAATGACATACTGCCAACAAAAAAGAAAAATACAAATAGTGAAGATGAAGACAATGACAATGCTATCCAAAAGATAATTAAGAAGACTTAGGGTGTGTTTGGTTGGTGGGTTTTGTCCATAGGAATGGGTATGAAAGTGATTGTTGTTGTTTGGTTGATAGGTTTTTAGAACACTACTATGGGTTTCGAATACTCCATCAATTGAAAAACCCATACCCAAATAAAATAAGGGTTTCGAATACCCCATCAATTGAAAAACCATACCAAAATAAAATAAGGGTTTCATTCCCTTATTCATTATCAAGCACTACTATTACTAACCATTCCCATTCTACCCTACTACCAAACATGTTAAATACTTTCACCAAAACCCATTACCATTACCAAGTATTTGATACCCATTCCGATTCTGATTCCCATGTGCGAACCAAACACACCCTTAGAGAAATTAAAATCAAAAGTAGTATTTATTTAAACTATCATTTTTAGACTAAGTATTTAGATGTAATATTGATTTTAAAAAGTTGCAAAGATTTATTTTAATGACAATTAAAAAAAATCTCATATATTATCTTGCATTCATATACTTTGAATTACCTATGTAAATAAACAAATTCGACATTCAATTACCTATGTATGAACTTCTCATATATAATATTGCATTGATATACTTTGAAATACTTATTTAAATATAAACATTGGTCATTAGTCCATTAGCGCAACGCGAGTGTAAAACTACAATCGTTATGTTGTGCAACCGTGCATGTTCACCATGCATGGTGCACACGGTTGCAAAACGACGTCGTTTCATTTTTTAAAAAAAAATCTCGTTCGGATCGTCGTTAACGGCGTTAGGTGATTTCCTTTCGTATTCAAACAGTAGGATATATCCATAATTTCATAACTATATATCCACAATTTCATAACTATATATCCAGAATTACATAACTATATGTCCAGAATTACATAACTATATATTCATAATTTGACAACAGTACATTCAGAAATAATAACTACACATTCATAATTTCATATCCATATATTCATAATTTCACAACTAGACATTTATAATTACATAACTCCATATTCAGAATTCTTAAAGTGCTTGTTCACAGAGAACCATATCCATAATTGCATAACTACACATCCATAACTTCATAACTATATATCCATAATTTCATAACTTCATAACTATATATTCAGACTTGCATAACTATATATTCATAATTACACGTCGATTGGAGTTTTGTAAAAAAATAATAAAAATTATTTGATTGGTGGAGTTAAATGACGCCACTAATGGCACCGTTATTACTCCATCATAGTAAACGGTGTCGTTTTGCAACTGTGTGCACCATGCATGGTGCACACGGTTGCACAACATAATTTGCGGTAAAACTAGTATATAATATATATAAAGTTAACCTATAACAGGAATAAAAAAAAATGTTGGTTCAATTGTTTGTTAAAATGAATGGTTCATATTATTTCGATTTTAGTACTTTTTTTTTATTTATCCAATTTTACCCTCTATTATATCATTATTTTTTATAAATACCCCCGCATTCTATCGGTGTAAACTTTAGTAACCGAATATTCCGTTAACTATTTATTATATATTCTTAACTTACTCATTGATTTTCATAAAGAATATCTTAGGTTCGAACCACATCCCAATCGTAGTTGACATAATTGTTAACATATATATTATGAATATGTTAGAGTGTATTAAAAAAAAATACAATATAAAAATTAACATTAATTTTAGTCAATTAATTAACTAGATTAAGTATATACATAACATTCAAAGTTGAACATCAAAGATTACAAATAAAGAACCTTGAACATTATTTTCTT